GGAGCAACAGTTGATTTGTTTACGTGTTCAATAAGCATATCTAACCAGCATTTCTAAATCTCGTGTTGTTTTCGTTCAAACAGTCGTCACCGCGGCAACGGCGATAATTTTCCATCGTTTCGACGAAGGTTCAGCGATTCCCGGACCGGATGTCGAAAACCGGGACCTCTTTACATGTGGGCGTCGGGGGCTCCGTTCCGTGGTCGCTCCCGGCGGGAAAACCGGGATTACGGGCCCCTTTCTCCGCTTGGCCAGTTCGGGCTGATGTCGCGTCTCGGTCTTAGGGCCGTCCCGTGTTCTCGGCTACCCCTGACAACGCGGATTGCGTTGACAACGGTCGATCGGGAGACGCGTGGCGTCCGCCGGCCTGGATCGATCGCACATTCCGTCGGCCTCCGGGCGTCGAATTATGTCCTAATCACATTTTATGAATAGTGAGCCCGGCGGACTCCGATCGGTGCCGAACCTACAGTCGGTGCCGTGGGGTGGGATTCGGCTGAGCTCATGAGCGACGTTGTGCATGGCCGTGAGAGGGCCGGAGGAAATCCACCCGACTGCGTGCGTTCTGCGCGCATTTGGAATGGCGAATCGAGGAGCGGGTCCACGCTTCGATGTGCAGAAAGTATCCGGGAATCCGGGGAAAGCTCAAGGACTTTCTTTATATAGAACTCATAAGATTTTCGAACATCCGACCATGGCAAACGAAATTTTAATACGACCCAAATTATCTGTGATCACTATAAATCTCAGTTTACCAAATGGAACTTGTAAATTTAACTAAACACATAATTGTCAGGGGTGTAACCGAAAATTTCAGTAGTAACAATCATATTATAGTAATCGTTTCCATTTTTTTTTTCAGTGATATGATTATTGCTTTTTATTACGACATGTACTAATTTTCGTCTCGCTTTTGGTATTAATTGTTAGTATCCGATATATGATCTAAACAAGATGGATTATAATATTAAAACTTGTATCTACTTTTGGACNAGTAATCGTTTCAATTTTGTTTTTCAGTGATATGATTATTGCTTTTTATTACGACATGTACTAATTTCCGTCTCGCTTTTGGTATTAATATTTAATATCCGATGTATGATCTAAACAAGATAGATTATAATATTATAACTTGTATCTACTTTTGGACGCAGTATAGGTAAATACATAATTATAATTTAAAATAGGATGGCGGCAAAAACAATTACTAAACGTAGGTTAAAAATACCATGGATATAAACGTCTTTCTGTTATCAGCGATAATGTCCCGGGCGGTCAGTTACGTGACGCGTTTCTAGCAAGTTGTTAGAAATTAAAAATTTTTGTTTAATAAATACAAATTTAATAATTATAA